TGTAATTGTACGATATAAGAGAAGACGGGGGTTGAGGGAGGAGAGGAAGAATTTTTATTTATGTTTATTATAAGACCTTAAAGAAGTAGGCTTAGGGTTTAATTGCATAATCTTGTACCATCTCTATCGCTTTCAAGTTCAAGTCTTTGGTCTCCATTCCGTGCATCTTTTCGTCCTTCCATAATCGTGTCACGACGTGATGGAATCAGGCTCTCGTCAGTTTTTGGGCACGTGGAGTTATTGGTATCATCATAAAGCCTGTTCATATATTATTTTGCTTTCGATGAAAAAATACCAATTTATCTTGAAAAGAAGTCGAGTTATTTGTGATTGAAGGGGGTAGGGATCGCCTGTTTCAGAGGTCAAATTAACGAGAAAACTGCGCCCAAGTTTTCTGAATTCCAAAGTTTGAGAGTCCTTGGAAATTGAAAATTTACATATTTGGGGCCTGCAATTCACGTTTTTTTTCATAAAAATCCGCACAAAAATGTGTTTGAATGGTTTTAAAAGGTGTTGAGAAACAAAAAACAAAACAAAAAAAGGCCAAATACCGGCGGAAAAAGCCGTTTTCTTCTATGTTATTTTGACGAGCGTCTGATTTTAAAAAAATGCTTCACCCTTCAATCTAACAATGTGACCTTAACTTGCTTCCACTTTTGTCGGACTATGATTTTTTGGGATATCTGCAGCTCCTTTCATAGTTCTGTCATATTATCCTGTATTCTTAAGACAAAGTATCACCTCTGTCTTTGCTTTATGTGTTATCCTTACTTTTTTATGATCCAAACAGTAAGGTAAACAAATCACGCTTCTAAAAAGACTTAAAATATCTCAATGGCAACGCAAAATGTTTCCCAATTATGATTATTACAAAATTTCATATCTAATTTTTTAAAATTAATTTTTTTTTTTTGGGGGGGGGAAGGTGTTTTACGGCGCTCACAACTGAATAAGGTCTATCTATGAGCACGCGGAAACATGAAGCATTTTCAGTTTGGTAGGAAATTTTGAATTTTGCCCAGTAGTAGAAGAAGTGTACTCTTATCAATTTTGGACCATCAAGGGATCTTTAAAGAGCGCAACTTGCACACGGGACCTCCGAGATGCCTTTGCCCTTATCCAAGAAGTCTAGGTGTTACATCTTACCTACCCTAAAATCACTGGAAAGACAGCAAGAAGAAGGAGCCAAGAAGGCTGCAGAAAGAGTCAGGAGCCGCGAGAGGTGTGGCAAAGAAAGTGGAGACGCCAGAACATGGTTAGAGAGCAGGAAAGGGGGTGAAAGGAGAAACTTTTGGATAAAACAACATTTTCCGTTACTGTTAGGTTTTGAACCCAGGACCTATTGAGAGAGAGGAGATCACCGTAACATGTAGACCATAAGTGTCCCGGGTGAGATTTTACAAACAGTAAGATAATTTAAGCCCGCTTCCAAAAAGACCTAAAATAATGTCAATTGCTGCGACTAATATTTAGCATTTTCAAAGATCGTAAATAACAAGATAGTTCACTCCTCTCTTTGAGCCAATGAAAAAGTGTCCTCAAAATTCGGTGGCGCACTCTTCTAAAAAGTGCGGACTTTGCGAACAGAGTTACCCTACTTGTGTGAAAAACAAAAAAAGTGAAACTAACAAACAGTGCTATTCCCATTCTTCTTCTGGAGAAACGAAAGAGAGCTTCAAGGAGGAAAAAAAACAACTGCAGCGGCTTCAGAAGCAATGCGCGTGGACTTCCGCGAACACATTTGGGGGCCGAGTGAACTGTCTTGTTACGTACAATCTTTGGTATCATGAGATCTTACTGAGGGTTTTCACGACTTTCCTCTGGGGGCAGTCGTCCGCGCACTTCCGGTCTGCTCCGTCGCCCTCCAGCTCACAGGCCGCGCACTCCCGGTACTTCATGATGTCACAGACATCGTCCCCACACAGCTAGACGTGGTACACACACACACATAGATAGATAAATACATACAGACAGACATACATACATACTTCATGATGTCACAGACGTCAGCTGCACACAGCTAGACATGGTACACACACACAGACACACACACAGACGCACACACACACACACACACACACACACACACAT